TGGCACCTTTAAGACCAACAAAAAGTTGAATTCTGGGTATAAGCTTTCGTGTGTACACGCACTTCTTCCAATACTTTAAAACGAGGCTTCCTCAGCCATAGATGTATTTGAAGACATGTTCATGCACACAGATGTATTTGAAGACATGTTCATGCATACGCAGAATTAAACTTCGTTGGTCTTAAAGGTGCCACTGGACTCAAACCTTGTTCTGTTGCACCCCACCTGAATCTTCCTGCAGAGCTGTAGAATAAGCCTTTGGGTGAGCACGCAGGATTTAGAAATCTTTCAGAAGACGCTCCCTAAACGTTGGGATCCATCGTATGATTCAGATTCCTACTTGCTGGAAGAAAGCTCGCTGATTTGTCTTCTATTTTGGGCAACAGGGCAAAATTTGAGGTCTCCCCACAAGCTTCATAGCTTGACCCCCCCGAGCACGAGGACTGGATAAAAGGAGGGTTTCTTGAAGAATCTCTTCTTGGAAGCCTTTGTCCTGATCTGCCCAGAATTCAGGGATTTCCCTGTCTTCCCCAGCTTCACACTTTCCCTAGAACTTGGGAAGGCCCTGTCACCAATGTTCCCTCTAAGCTATGGAATCTTGTGAGCAAAGATTCTTCTTTGTGAGCTACTGGCCTTAAAGTTGTGAGCGAGTGATTTGGCTACTGCATCAATTAGTTTGCTCTGGAGCCCTCCTTCCTGAGCTAAGACAAAAACGTGTGAGCTGGAGGCTAAAAAACCGTGAGCTGGCTCACACTAACTCAGCTTAGAGGGAACACTGCCTGTTACCCTGCACAGCAAGTGGGAATTTTGGTTTTAACTGAAAACATTTTCAACTGTGATTGCCAGCTGCCTTGAACCACGAGGAAAGGCGTTTCTTTTCCAGCAGTGGTTTAATAAATAAAATAAATTCCCAAGCCCCACAAAGCCCCACCTGGGAACACTGAAGTCCCACCATGCTGTCTAGATTGGGAGTGTGTGTGTGTGTGTTACAGAATGCACACAGAAGTATGGGCCCTCCCCACAGACTGACTATGGCCCCGGTCACACGGCAACATTGCCGCGGGAGACGCACGGAAGGTGGGCGGATTATCCGGGCGCGATCACACCCCAACATCTGGGAAGTGGAGCACACCCGTGGCATACTGCCGACAATGCGCGTTTAAAAACTAGTACCTCCAAGGTACTAGCAAACGTTTGCCACGGGCTGCCTCCAGATGCCTGTGGTGTGATCGCGCTGGCGCGTGGCATTCCCCTCCGGTTCCTTGTTTACCCACCAGCGAAGAGGGAAGGACCCGTGCTGTGCCGCCGGCGCGTCTGATCACGTAATCGCGGATCAAACTGCGCCGGGGCAATTAGCCACGCCTCCCCCCCGGGCGATATCCGGCCCGTGTGCCCGGGGCCTATAGCTACCTGATATAGCTTGAGGAAACCCCTATCAGATTTGGGTGGCTGGGTGTCCAAGGTCAGAAGCTACAGGTGCTAGGACCAAACCTTCTGATTTTAGACGTGTGAATCTGGATGGGCACATCTGCAAGAGCTGTACTGAATCAGCCCAAATGCCCGCAATCCTGTTTCCAGAGGTGGTCAGCTAAATGCCCCCGGAAGGCTGGCAAAAAGGGCATGAAGAGAGCCAGGGTGCAAGTGGTGTGAAGGTATGAATGTCAGCCATTCAAGCTCCCCCCACAAAGTTCACTGGAGGGTATTAAGCCAGTCGCTTTCTCTCAACCCAGCCTACCTCACAGTGTCGTTGGAGGGTACAGTGGAATGATGGGGAAACAAGCTGAGGAGGAGATGTGGCTCGGTGGTAGAGCATCTGCTTGGCATGAAGAAGGTGCCACGTCTCAACGCTCATCAAATGTCAGCTAAAGAGACCAGGCAGCAGGTGATGGGAAAGACCTTTCTCTGCCTGAGACCTTGGAGAGCAGCTGTCAGCCTGAGTAGACAATACTGACCTTGATGGCCCAAAGGTCTGGTTCACAGTAAGGCAGCTCCTGCTGTATGTTTTTGGGGAGGGGCCGTGGCTCAGTGGCAGAGCGTCTGCTTGCCCTGCAAAAGGTCCCTGGCTCATCTCCACTTAAAAGCGCCAGGCAGTAGGTGATGAGGAAGGCCTTAACCGGATACCCTGGAAAGCGGCTGCCAGTCTGAGTAGACAATGCTAACTTTGACGGACTGAGGGTCTGATTCAGCATAAGGCAGATTCCTGGGAAAAGGCACAATAAAACCACACTGGACAGATGAAGCCAACAGCCCAGCCCACACTCACCCAGAGGTAGCAGGTGTCTGATACCCTGGAGAGAGAGAGAGCTGCTGCCAGTCTGAGTGGACAATACTAACTTTGACAGACCCAAGGTCTGATTCAGTATAGTAACTCAGCTTCATGCAAGTTCCCTGGAGGAAAAACAAGATCACAATGCGCTAGGCAGCTGAAGTCAAGGGCCCGCCCACCCATGAAGCTGCCTTATACGGAATCTAGCCATTGGTCCACCAGAGTCTGTATTGTCCACTCAGGCTGGAAGCAGGTCTCCAGGGTCTGAGGCAGAGATCTTCCACATCACCTCCTGCCTGGTCCTTGGATTGGCGATGCTGGGGACTGAACCAGGGAACTTTCCCACTGGGCCACCAGGCAAAGTTCCCTCTAAGCTGTGGAGTCTTGTGAGCAAAAATTCTACTTTGTGAGCTACTGGCATTAAAAGTTGTGAGCAAGCAATTTGGCTACTGCATTAAATTAGTTTGGTCTGGAGCCATCCTTCCTGAGCTAAGACCAAAAGGTGTGAGCCGGAGGCTAAAAAACTGTGAGCTAGCTCACACTAACTCAGCTTAGAGGGAACACTGCCACCAGGGCCAGTCCCCACTCTCCTTGGCCCCGCAGTCCCGGCGCGCTGCCCTCTCCACGCCTCACCTCTTGCTGGGCGTGCCGCCGGCGCCGCCTCCTCCTCCTCCTCCCTGGCCGCCGCCGCTGCGGTCCCTCTGGCGCCGGTTCTTGAACCAGTTGCTGACCTGGGTGAGCGAGAGGCCGGTGTCGCGGGCCAGGCGGCGCTTCTGCTCCGGGCTGGGGTAGCGGCTGCGGCCGTAGGAGTCGCGGAGGGCGGCCCGCGAGCGCCGCTTGAAGCAGTAGACGGTCTCCTCGCCGTCCCAGATGGTGCCGGGCAGGGGGAACTTCTTGCGCAGGCGGTACTTGTCGACGGCGCCCAGCGCCCGGCCCCGCGCCGCCTCGGCCTCCCGGTAGCGGGCGCGCAGGTAGAGGTCCTGCAGGAACGGGTGGTGGGGCGCGCCGAAGGGCCGGCTCTGCACCAGGCGGTACAGCTCGGCGAAGTCCCCCCGCTGGAAGGCCAGCAGCGCCCGCGCCTTGGCCAGGCTCTCGCCCGCCGCGCCCGGCTGCGCCTCCAAGCGGCGCGCCTCGTCGGCCGGCAGCGAGCCCAGGAAGCGGCCCAGGCGGCCCGGGTCGCCGGCTTGCAGCAGCGCCTCGCACACGCACGAGACCTGCTCCGGGGAGAAGCGCGGCGGCGGCGGGGAAGACGGAGAAGGCAACGCCGCTGCCGTTGCAGCCGCCGCCGCCGCCGCCGCCGCCGCGCCCGCCTCGCTTCCCCCGCTGCCGGGAGGAGCCTGGGGCGAAGGGGCGGGCGCCAAAGTTTGCACAAGTTTGCGCGGCTCGCCCCCGCCGCCCTCGGCCTCGCTTCGGCCGGCCGACGAGGCGGGCTCCGCAGGGAAGGAGGCCATCT